TAAACTCTCTGCTTCCTTCTCCTTCTCTTCTCCTTCTGGGATACCCATTATCCTTATGTTACCTTTTCTAATGGAGTCAGACAGTTCTTGTAGAATTTCTTCTTTTTTTAAAAATCTTAGTTCTCCCTCCTTTTCTACCTGAATTATTTCTAAATTTCTATCTTCAAGCTTGCTAATTCTCTCTTCCATATGGTCTGCTCTATTTCCAGTGCTTTCTAATGCATTCTTCATACCATTTATTGAGTTCTTCAGCTCCAGATTTTCTGTTTGGTTATTTTTTGGAGTTTTAATGTCTTTGGTAAGTTTTCCTTCTGTTCTTTAATTTTATTCTTGAGCTCATTGAACTGCCTTGCTGAGTTTTTTTGTAGCTCGTTGAGTTTCTTCATGACAGCTGTTTTGAATTCTCTATTAATTAGATCACAATCTTCCATAACTTTAAGTTTGGTTTCTGGAGAATTGTCATTTTCTTTTTTTGATATTGTGTTACCATGGTTTTTCTTGATGCTTACTGAGTTGTTTCATGGTTGCTTGTCTGCCGGTGCATTTGAAGTAGTGAACACTTTTCTTATTTAGGTAAAACTTTGTTTACTTTGGTTCTGACAATTCAATAGGTTTATAATTAGAGGGCTTTCTTTTGTTTTTCAGTAGATGGTGCTATAGCATAAGTTGTTGGTTTCTCTTACCTGAGCTACCTCTGACTGTATTTGAGAACCAGCACTTTCCACCCTCCACTGCCTCTGCTAGAGATGTCACTGGTGCCCTCCTCACTGCTGCTTTTGCCTCTGGGGTTGCTTGTGTCTTGCTGCTGCTGGTGCTGCTGGTATCACCACTGGGAATACCAAAATGGTGGGCACCTCTGCCGTGTCTGAGGTTGCCTGGGTCTCTGGTGCCCCCATGGTGGGGGGACCGAAGTGGAGGAAGCTGTGCTCTATGAGTACCTCTGCTGTGTATGGGGTTGTTGAGTTCTCAGGCACCACTACCACAGGCAGGTGGGCCAGAATTGCAGGCATCACCACAGCTTGAGGGATTGGGGTTGCAGGTCCAGCAGCCACTGCTGCCCAGTTCCCTGTGGGTGGGGGCACTTCTGCTGCCAGGAGGCCAGAGTCATGTATGCCACCTCTACTGCTGCTACCAGGTTCCCTAGACCTGTGGGTTCAGTGGGGGGGCTGTGACTGTGGGTATCACCTCTGCTGTTCCCCCAATTCTGCCTCCTCTGTGTGTTCTAATCCACCCACCTTCAGATGTACAGATGTGTGGATCTTTGTGGTGTCCTGGTATGTTGGACAGAGGAACCTTTGTTGAGTTATAGATGTTTTAGTAGTTGTAGATTGAAGGGGAGAGACAAAGGGAGTGTTTCATGCTGCCATGATGCTGACATCACTCAATAACTAAATCTTGTCTCTCTCTGCCTGCAATACCCTTTCCATCTTTCCTGCCACTTTTTTTTTCGTCTGTTGATTACCCTCCCATGAGTTAAAACTCAAAACTTTCCTTACCCAGTTAGGTAAAATTGGCCACTCTTTCCTGTCCCTATCTTAGAGTCCGTAACATGTATTGTGCTGCTTCTGTCTCTCCTCTGCTAGATTCTAAGCTCCTTGAGTTCAGAAACCTTGTCTTATTTATCTTTCTTTTCTCAGTGTTTAGCCCATCACAGCCATTCAGTTCACATTTGACTACACTAATCCTGGCCCCTCAGCTTATTTCTGAGTGACCTTGTCGAGTTACTTAACTTCTCTGAGCCTCAGTTTCTTGAATTATAAACCGTAATAGGGTTTTATTAAAATACAGTGAAACGGTATGTGTGAAAGTACTTTTTTAAGTGCCATAAAATGCTCTGTGTAATTACTTTTTGTTGTTTCATGTCTTTAAATTTCTATTAATTTTTATTATAAAGGTCATATATGATTATTGTATAGAATTAAGAGAATAAAATCACTCAATCTCAACACATATAACCACTTTTAGTATTTCATTTTATTTCCTTCTAGACAG